TTATGCTAATTATTTAATACAAAATATATATTCTGTTTAGATGTTATTTTTATGGATGCAACTTGTTTGAGTAAATGCTCTGTTTTAATTAAACATATTAATTACATTTACCGGATTGACTGTTCGAGAAGTTTCGTGCAAAATATGCGTTCTCCGACAGGAATAGAACCTGTATCCAATACGGAAAGTGTATACAGCATGACGTTAACCGTTTAGCCACATTCCAGAAAGTTTTCTGTGGTTGACTGATTAACAGCATGTCATACTACGAGGGTCATTCAATAAATAAGGTGAATTTTTCGGTATAAGGACTTCTAATACAGATAGAAGCTTACTTTTTCTTTCTTTTTTTTTTCAACGTAGTCTCCCAGCACTGTCATACACTTTTCCCATCTGTGTACAAGCTTCCGTATTCCCTCAGCGTAAAAATCTTTGGACTGATGTCTCAGCCAGTCGCTCACAACACTTTTGACTTCATCGTCACTTTTAAACTGTGTGCATCTTGTGAACGCTTTCAAGGGACCAAAGAGGTGAAGGGGCAAAGTCTGGGCTGTAAGGGGGGATGAGGGAGCAGTTCCCATCCCAGCTCGTTGATGGTCTGCACCGTTTGGGCTGCTGTGTGAGGCCTTGCGTTGTCATGATGAAAAATGACTCCTTCTGACTGATGACCCCTGCGTTTGTTCTTTATGTCTTTCTTGACCTGCTTCAGCAGTTGACAGTAGTTCTTCTGTCAGACTGAATGAGGTCATTGACTGATTCGATCACCTCAGGAGACCTCACTTCTGTAGGCCTCCCAGGCCTGTCTTCATCCTCAATACTACTCCGTCCTTCTTTAAACAATTTAGCCCATTTGTAGACATTTTTTTGTCTGAAACATGTGGCACCATACACAGTTGACATTCTCCTATGAATTTCAACTGGTTTGCACCCTTCAGCAACCAAAAACTTGATAACTGACCGCTGTTCAATCCTGGAGCATGATTCTTGGTCGGTCATCTTTGTTAATCGCCAAAACTCTCAAAGTTTTTTTTTTAATCTCCAAAAGAAATTAAATCAATGTGAAAAAGAAGTAAAACAAAACAAAAAAAGAAAGTAAGCTTCTATCTGTATTAGAAGTCCTTATACCGAAAAATTCACCTTATTTATTGAATGACCCTCGTATATGACGGTTTCTGGATGGGAGACAGTTTCGATTCCTGTCGGAGATGCATATTTATATAATTTTGGAACGTGTGGTGTCGCAATGTTACAGTTAGTATTTAAATATTTCAAATGAGAATTTTTGTTTGAATTTAGTAATTTGTTGCTTTTCAGCTAAAGTTCCAAATATAAATGGCAAAAAAAAATTCTCTTAAACAACTTCTTCCGATCTGTATTTATTTCGTCTTACAGTCTAACTGGAATGGAAAAATTACGCCCTGAGGAGAATAATGTGAAATTTGTCGAAAATATTCGGTCTAGTAACAAATTAAACAAAATGATCGCATTATTCAATGAATTATTAGTAAGCTAGTGCCTTATTCAGTCTTGTTAGCGAAGAGATTTTGCCATTAATTACATTAAGATTGCTAATTAATTCTTTGCATAATTACCTCATTATGATAATATATATATATATATATATATATATATATATATACTGCACAATTTTAATATATATATATATATAATTATATACTGCACAATTTTAATATATATATATATATATATATATATATATATATATATATATATATATATATATATATATAATTTATTCGAAAAATGTTATAAAACCACTACAAAAATAGCCATTTTGTTTCACAACTTATGGCTGTAGTGATTTTATAATATTTTTATGTTATAATTTTTGAATAAATGATTATATTTGATCTATTCTGTATTGAGCACTCTTTTAAGGATAGTATTTATTGGTTATTGGAATTTATTCCGTATACACCAATCCTATACTTATATATATATATATATATATATATATATATATATGTGTGTGTGTGTGTGTGTGTGTGTGTGTTTATTAGTACTCTGTTTTTGTAGGTTTATGTAGGCAAGAGTTTTTCTTTAGGATATATTATCAGATGGATGCAGGCTTGTATCTTGTGTTTACAGGCTGGGTTGGCTAGAATTTTATATGCCGAGACGAATAAGCATGAGAATATTGGGCAGTTTCAAATCGTCAGCCATTTTACAGCCTTCCAGGCGTACGTGTTTATAGTCAACATTGAACTCCAACAAAAAAATACCAAAAACAATGCCCATAACATTAAGAACATTTGTTTCACCGACATCGAAAAAGAAACGTCCTATTTTGGGAATTGTTGCATCATATTTCTTCCGATTTGTTTACCAGAACACCAAAAATAATAATTCTACGTGTATATATATATGTATGTATATATATATATATATATATATTATAATTTTTTTCATATAGACAAAAACATAATAATAATTACAGACAGTCCTTAAAAATCCATCCGTTTATAATTTATTTCATGAATGTATATATATATATATATATATATATATATAAAACAAAAACACACACACCTATATATATATGTACAAAGATATATATATATATATATATATATATATATATATATATATATATATATATATATATATATGTATGTATGTATATATATATATATATATTATGAAATGGACAAAGTCCGACAATTATTTTAAGACATTTTTTTATGTTTATACGTTCTTTTTATAGATACAAATATTTAAGTAAATGCTCTATTTTATAATAAACAGTATTAGCATCATTTACCGGCCTGAATGTCTGCACATTTTCTATGAAAATTTATCGGACATTCAGGCCGGCAAATGTTGTTTACTACTGTTTATTATAAACAGAGCATTTACTGAAATATTTGTATACACAAAAAGAAATATATATATATATATATATATATATATTTTATATATATAATATTAGTGGTAAATATACACATACATATGCAAAATATATAAATATATATAATATTAGTGGTAAATATACACATACATATGCAAAATATATAAATATATATACATAGGTGCATACACATATATGTATATTTTTTGAATAAAAAATTCCAAGAGGATAGAATCCAGGTAGAAATCAATGTCCAGGACAGAGTAATGATATTATAATAAAAAGGCCTAAATACTAATATAAGACTTTTTATGATATATATATATATATATATATATATATATATATGTGTGTGTGTGTGTGTGTGTGTGTGTGTGTGTGTGTGTGTGTGTGTGTCTTTCATGATTGAATGCAATCATCAGGCCATAAAGATTGCGCTGGAGCGTTCATGTAGAGAATTGGTTGTCATCCCAAATAATGGAATTGTAAAACCGTTCTTGTTATTAGTCATGTTAACATTTACAGAAAATGTGTGGAATTTCTATTAAATAATACCAGTATATTTTTTAAAATGGAGAATAAAAATCAATGAATAAAAAACAAGTATTCAGTGAACAAAGCCTCACAAAATGAAGACAAATTATCAAAATTGTTCTTATCTTTCTTACCCATTGTTTACTAAGGAAAAATTCGGCATTCACTGACCGAAGAGCCAGTAGTACTTTTGGCTGAAATTTATGAAATCTTTCTCTTCAATCTTCTTCTCTCCAGTAGCGGTTATCACCTTTTACAAAACTGACACTTAAAACTTAAACTTTGATTCGCAGTAATATGGAATTTCAATAACTTTATTATTTTCTTTTCGATTTACATGTGCAATCGATTTTAGATGTTACTTTTTTTAAAAGCTTATAAATGATGTTTTCTCTTATTACGTACATTTCAACGTTTCATTCTCCCAAAACCATCTATCAATCGAAACCATTCAACAATCAATAAAAAGTATTTAACCATCAATCAGAAACATTTAATTGTCAATCAAAACCATTTGGTTTTGATTGGCAATTAAATGTTTAGAACCTTCAATCAAAACCATTTACTTTTCGATCAAAACCATTTGACTATACAATCAAAAGCATTTAACTATCAATAAAAAAATCTATTTTTACTAGAAATCATAGCCATTTGTTCATAAATCAAAACCATTTAACATTTATAGCCACTAAGTAATGTAATCAGTAAAAAAGTAATCAGAAAAGCCACTAAGACACAAGGTGTAACTGGGTGGGGGAGAATTAAAAAACATTAGTAATTATCGGGAAGAGAAAAGAGCAATTGGGAGAATGGTAGATAACGAGAGACATTGCCAATTTTTGCACATTGAAGCTGACTGGAAAGCATAGAGCCGGAATCGACTTCCACATAAATTGAAAGAAAAAACAATGTTAACATAGAACTTACGGCTAGATCTGGCGAGTCAAGTGTAAATTGATGAGATCTCGATGCCAGTCTGGTACTGTGCTTAAATTCAAAATATCTAGGTACCATAGCTAGGAACTCATCCGAACAATTACCATGAAAGTATTTATAGAAAAGACAGAGTGAGGCAACCTTACGGCAGTGGGAAAGTGACTGAAGCCGAGCCGCCCGATCAGGACCAGAAATAATGCGGATTCTTCCTTGGTGAAAAATACAAGGGAAAATGAAATAATTATTAGTAAAAAAAAATATTCTTCGACGTCTCATAAAACTTACGGCTGTTTCTAGCCAGCTTTAACTGTAAATTTATGAGATGTCAACGCCAGTTTAGTACTGTACCTAAATTCAAAATGTCTAGGTAACGTAGCGAAGGGTTCATATGAACAAGCACCATCAAAGTATTTATAGAAAAAACCCAGGGAGGCAACTTTACGACGGTTGGTAAGTGACTGAAGCGGAGCGGCCAGATCAGACCCGATAATATTGCTGATTCTTCTGTGGATTTTATTAAGTAGCTAAAGGTGTATAGCTCACAGGGCCATATGTTACATCTGCCACGTATGGTCTGGTGATACTGCTGTATAATTAGAGATTCTTGATAAAAATGCAAAGAAAAATGAGCATTATTATCAGTCTAGATGTGGTGTCTTACCAGTTTTTGGTTTAATCTGGCACATATGCAATAGATAGATAGATAGATAGATAGATAGATAAAGAACAGACAGACTTGAATAGAAACTGATCTACTTGATTTTTAACACTTTTACAAGAGGGACATTAGGCGTGAAAAAATGTTACGCTTTCGGGATTTGGTTCTCCTTACGATTGTTGTGTTTGTCTATTTGATAAGATTAATTGATGACGGGACAATGACAACGATGATAATGAGAGTTAGATAAAGAGTGTTATTTTATTTCGACTTCCGGAGTGTTATGATCGTCCATATCCTGGAAGGAAATGGCATATAAAAGAAATAAATGATTTAATTTCATTACAAACGGTTAGGTAGATATAATCTTCGACCGCTAATCTGGCAATAAAAGAAATAAAAATAATGATTTTCATCTTAAGAAAGCAATACAGAAAGCTGACTACCAACGTGAAGTTTGAACAATTCACACTTGATTAGTCGGATAGGTTTTTGGTAAAATTCATCATTTGAAACTTAAAGAAACAAAACAGGAAGACAGAGCAGAGGTAAGTAAATTTTGTATCCAACCTCATAAAGCTATACTGACCCAATTAGGAAAAAATCTCCAGCTGTAGGCTGTCCTTGATATGACGTTAAACTACATCCGCGTCCTCGGTAAGACGTTAAAATACGTCCAACAGCAAGGCCTCTGATCAGGAGGCTTTGAGTAGAGTGGAACCACCTCTTAATTGCTGGTGTTCCCAGGTCCACCCTGACCCAGGGTGGTAGCACCTGTTAGGGTCCTAGCTATGAGTAAACTGTTAACCACGAAACTGAGGGAAAAAGCATTATAAAAGTGTAAAAATAGGTTTTAATATCAGAAATACTTTGTAAAAAATTATTACCAGAAATAAATTTTTAAAGAAAAAAAATATTACTAGCAATACGTTTAAAAAAAAAAAACTATTACAAGCAATACGTTTTTGGAAAAATAATATTACCAGCTATATATTTTTGAGGAAAAAATATTAACAGAAATAGATTTTTGACAAAACAAAAATATTACCAGGAAAAAAAGTTGTCGGCATTAAATGACCCATTGAGGTTGATATGCCGTAAAACAAACCAAACCAAACCAAACCAGGTGAAGGATTTTTAAATATCGCCGTAAGCATTTCTGGCTACTGATTTCATACAGTTTCTTTTAGAAGCTGGTTTCTGTATCATAACGGGGTTGTGATAAAAGTTAAATAAAATGGAATAAATATTGTTAAAAACTATGGGGATAATGAAATATGTAGGAACACTAATAACTGTGATAAAAAGCAATAATAATAAGATGGAATCATCGTCGTCATCGCCATCCGTCCGTTTCGAGAGACATTGGAGTAGCGCGGTCCGCTACGAGCCTGGGCGGGATATATTGAGAACTAGGGCTGCCCGGACGTCTAGTATCCCCCTCTCGGCCTTGCTAGCAGAATCCAAGGAGTTGCCGGGAGTTAGCACAAAGTGCCGTCAATCCACCTTAGGGGCTCCACTCCGGGTTTGAATTCAGAGTTGTCCTTCTCCTAGACCAGTTGCCATCCAATGCTATAGAACCCAGTCTGTCCTGCTATTTACCCATAGCTGGAGGGAGAAGAAGAGGATTCATACTTTTCCCAAGGATATTAACACGTAAGTTAATGTAATGGATTCGACTGAAATTCGAACTCCGATTCCTCAGTTCAAGCCTCTATCCATTACTCCATCGTGCCCTCCTATATATATATATATATATATATATATATATATATATATATATATATATATATATATATATATATATATATATATATATATATATATATATATACCACTGGAGTTTCAACGATTGCGTTGTGGATGAAACCCCGGGTTGTACTGTTGGCACAAAGTGTCGTCCACCCGCCTTATGGGCTCCACTCCGGGTTTGACTTCAAGGCTATAGAACCCAGTCTGTCCTGCTATTTACCCATAGGTGGAGGGAAAAGAAACTAGTAATAAAATATTTGTAATAATGAATAGTGTACTGACCCAGAGTTAAAACAACAATAATAAAATGGCGTAACAGTTATAATGATATCATACCATTTAGGAAGAGTGTATCGTGATAAAAAGCAAAATTAGTAAGATCGATAACTAGTAACTCATTATCTGACCGTAGTTGGGAACATCGATCCAATGTCAACAAAACTTTCTCTCTTTAATAATAATGAACAGTATGTGCGACGCCAGAGTCACTTTCTCTTAAAATGGTCACCACTCAGTCTGTCCTGAAATTTGATGTTAGAATATAACATACACGATTGGAGTTCGAACTCGGTTCCCCTATACCCCAAGTCGAGCCGCTATCCATTACACCACCGCGCCTCTTCTAACAACGAAACAAGAATGATAATGAAGAGTGTATCCCGCAAGAGGGTTGGAATAAAAGCAACAATAATCAGATGAAATAAAACCAGTAATATTATAATAGTAATAATGAAGAAATCGTCCATCACATATTCAGACGGTGGGGGGTCCAGGAGTTGTGGGGGAGAGGGAAGAAGAGGAGTGGTATTAGTAAGAGACAAGATTCCACCTATGAAGCGCCGATAGATTCCAAACTAACTTTGGGTTTACCTTTATTACCAACTAGCAACATGGCCCGGCGTTGCCCGTGCCTGATTCAAAAATCGTACGACTCATACAGCAATCGCTATCACTTGACTTAAAATATTTTTGTCCTTCCTTGCCTTTAAAAGAGTGCCCTTTGCCGTGCTGATGTTGCTATATGCCTTACTTCTTGCCTATCTCACACTGCGATTTTTTTCTAATCTCTATACTAAACATTAAATCTGTTACTAAAAAAGAACTAAACAAAATGAACACAAAACGATCAGCTTTAAAAAAGGACTCGTAACTGGAAAAACCGAATGAAAAAAGAATTTTAACAACAAATACTTTTTCACACCCAACCCAGTTCTGCGCAATCAGAATCAACGTTGAGTTTAAGCAAGCGAATGAGCCAATTGGAGTAAAGTGCCATGCAGATTTAAATTTTTCCCACTTGTGACGATTGCAGCTATCGATTTTTTTTGCATGTTGACTCTCACGCTGGCCAAAAGAATCTTCCTGCCTATTCTATAGGCTCTCACTCTGGCCAGTAGAAAATGGCCGCAAACTACATGAAAACTACCGTAGAAGTATGAAAAAATTGATTATTTCCACTATCGATGGGAGTTAGTAAATGCAAAGTCGGTCTTGGCCTTCCCGCTAACTTGGAGCATGTGCATGTAAATTTTGGTGCAAATCCATCGAGAATTGCGGCCGTTCATTCGTTACAAAACACACACACACACACACACACACACACACACACACACACACACATCCTGCCTTTTATAGATAGACATACTCTCAAGTCGATACTCTACAAATCGTTGACATATTGACTATGCAAATAACCTCGCTCGCACTGCGGACAACATTACCAATTCCACGATTCTCCTACATTATCTAAAAAATGCAGCCAACGAAAACCGAATTCATAGGCTTCAACCATCAAGGCTCAATTCCAACTGTCTAGGGGCGTCTATAAAAATTGTCGAATCTTTTGTATACCGAGGAAGCGAGATATATTCTTCTGAAAAGGGTGTGAAAATTAGCATAGTTAAAGTCTGGGGCACTTTGAATAAAAATAGATGTACCCACAAGCGCAGATTCGAGCCACAGTAGAGACAGTGTTAATGTATGTCGCCATGGCTGGACATTAACTAAAACCTTAGAGTCTAAGCTTAATGTAACCTAAAACCGGTTGCTGAGAGCTATACTTAACATCTCTTGGAGACAACATCCAACTAAATCACAGCTCTATGCACCTATCCCTGATATTTTCACCATTTTACACGAAAGCAGAATGCGCTTTGCAGGACTCTGCTGGCATGCAAAACAAGAGATCGCGAGTGATCTAATGCTCTGGACAACTAACCATGGACCAAGACAGGGTGGCTACCTTGTACCCAGCTACATTGACTAGCTATGTAATTAACACAAAAAGTCACTCTTATGACCTTCTGATCTTGATGCATAACCGCGATGTCTAGCGTGATAGAATCATGAATATTCGGGTTCGCTCGATCGAATAAAATAAATTATAATGAAGAGTATGTGTGTTGGAATAAAAGCAATAATAATAAAAATGGAATAATAATAATAATAATAATAATAATAATAATAATAATAATAATTCAAAATGGAGTTTCAAATGGGCGTAGAGATGCAACTACAGCACAGTACACCGGCTGAAACTGCAAAATACCTAAAAAAGACAGCAAAGATGAATGCAACCGACCAGCTACAGAAGCGATAGCAAGATAAACCGCTTCATGGCCAATACTCTGCCCATACCAAACAAGCTGACGGAGACAAAACCCGTACCCATCAGTGGCTACGTAGTGCAGGGTTGAAAGCTGAAACTGAAGGTTTTATCCTTGCTGCGCAGGACCAATGCTTGCTAACTAGGAATTATCAAGCACATATACTAAAATATTGTGTCAGCCCAAAATGCAGATTCTGTGATAAATATCCAGAAACGATTGATCATCTTGTATCAGGTTGCACGATAGTGGCACCCACTGAATATAAAACCCGGCATGGTAGAATGGGCCAATATCTGCACTGGAAAATCTGCAACTTCTACGGGAAGGAAACTGAAAGAAACTGGTATGAACACCACCCAGACCCGGTTACGGAGATAGGACCTGTTACAATTCTATGGGACTACACAATACACACTGACAGAACAATCAAGGCCAACCGGCCAGATATTGTTATTAAAGACCACAAACAAAAACGATGCCTCCTTATTTATATGGCAGTCTCGAAAATGTGGCATATGGGAACATCAACAATCCCTGTTGTAGTTTGAGCCCTAGGACTGGTTGGAAAAGATTGCAGTAGACTAATTGAAGGGATTCTTGGAAGTCCATGCCTCAAGGAGTTACAAAAAATTGTTCTGACAAGTACAGCCCACACCTTACGAAGGGCTTTATCTATGTAATTTAATTCTTTTTTTTTTCTCTCAGTGGAAAGTGTCATGACGCCATTTCTAACCTT